AAGTGAGATGTGGGCAGAGTAAACTCCCACGAGCCGTGGAATGGAAACACCTGACTGCCGCTGAGCACTGAATGAGCTCAGGAGTCATCTGAGGTCTGGTGAGTCCACATGCAGTCAGTTAAAAACTCCCCCAGCTCTGCACGCAGTCCAGAGACCCCCTAAACCTAACAGTATGAGGAAACACTTCCCCCATTACTGAATCTGAGAGCCCATCGCCCTAAGATGCACGGTTCTTTATGAGCCACCGTACGAAAGCAAGAGGGCAAATAAAATGCTCACAAGGTTGATTTTAAGATCCATTCCCAGGTCTGCAGATGTAAATGTTTCAAGTTGCAGAGTCAATAAAACTGGGGGGTGAGGGAATTCTGTCTTTTGTTGACGGCTCTATTCCCAGTGCCAAGACTACTGACAGCACACAGTAGGAGCTGCGTTTGCTGAAGACATGAACGAACAAAGAGACAAATGAGCTCTCGTTTGGAGGACAGCGATCGTTCTGTGAGTGCTTCACGCAAACACCAAAGCAACATTTAGCTGCTTGAGGCACTGCAAAGATTTCCAATTTGTTTTTAGAATCATAAAGCCATCAGGGCATCTGATCGGCCCTGCTGGTGGAACATCTGACTCTTGATCTCAGGGCCTTGAGTTTGAGCCCACTTTGGGTGTAGAGATTACTTTTATATTTTTTTAGTAACTAGGCTCTGAGCCGAGCGTGGAGCCCAACATGGGGCCTGAACTCACGACCCTGAGATTAAGACCTGAGCTAGGATTAAGAGTCAGACACTTAACAGACTGAGCCATCCAGGTACTACAAGATCACTAAAAAAAAAAAAAAAAAAAACCACAAACAACAAAAAACCAGAACAAAACACAAAGCTATCTATGTTGCTGATGGGCAGTTCTGTATCAGTAAGACTAAGATTTCATACTTCCTTTACTGTGCACACGCCAAAACACAACAAACTGGGACGCCTGGGTGGCTCAGTGGGTTAAGTTGCTGCCTTCGTCTCAGGTCGTGATCCCAGGGTCCTGGGATGGAGCCTCACATCAGGCTCCTTGCTCGGCAGGGAGCCTGCTTCTCCCTCTGCCTGCTTGTGCGCACTCTCTCTCTGATGAGTAAGTAAAGAAAATCTTAAAAAAACAAAAACAACAAAAAACCCACAACGAACTGTGAGCCTGTCAACGAGATGCACACATCAGGCCAAGTTATTCCCCAACGGGCATTTCATGCCGATGGGGCTCAGTGGCGGCTAAAACCTTGTTTATTCCGTTCCCGTGGTCACGGCCTACCACACTCGCCGTACAGTTCGTTTTCCAGAAGCCCAGCGTACTCCACGCAAGGTGGACATGGTGGTGAACAAGAGACACAAAATAAGTCACTCTTAGCGTGATGGGTGCTGATCAGACATGACCTTGGGAGCACTGGTGTATGCCCACTGGCCTCACACGCCCGTGTCCCCTCAGATCCTGGGTCTGCTCGCCAGAGGGGTCTGAGCAACAAGCTCTGTCTGGCCGTCTCAGCCCTTATGCCCTTACTCTGTTCTTGTGCACAGGCGGCCCCTCATTCGCCTGGATGCGCTCCCACTTGCAGCTGAGCAGACAGACGGACGCTCACTGTCTGGGGAAGGATGACACACGGACAGGTAACGAAGCTGCAGCTAAGTGCCAGGCAGGGACACACTGGCTGTTCTGGAACCCTGGCGGGGCGGGGTGAGACGGAATGGAAGGCACTTTGGAGGGAGTGACGCTGGACTGGGCGCCGGGAGCGAACAAGAGAAGCAGAGGCCGAGAGGAGAGAAACCGTAGCCGGGAGCCGGCACAAGGCGGTCATGCAGGGGCTGAGGTGGGAGGGCACAGGGAGAACAGACCGTTCCCTGCAGACCAGAAACCCAGGAAGGTGGGACGTGATGAGAACAGTTTTAGACCAGCCCTAGGCTGGTCTGTGGGGGACAGGTTCAAGAGAGCGGCAAACGGAGTTAAGGAGACTGGTTAGGAAGCAAACTCTGAGTCTAGATGGCATAAAGGGGCTCAGGGAGGGCAAAGAAACTCAGAGGATGGCACACAGGGACGCCACGGGAGAGTGGATGTGGGCTGGGGGAGAGGAAGGGGGAGAGGCGTCTAGGACATCACCGTGTGCCCAGCCAGACGCTGAGTGGATGGGGACAGAAGTGAGGCAGAGGAGAACAGATTTTAGGGGGAGGAAAATGAAACACTTCTGGGCATCTGAGTCTGAGGTGCCCTTGGGACACCCAGGCGGGAGGACCCTGTCCATAAGGCCTATCTGAGCGGACAGCAGCCAGGTTTGCCCTCGCCACGTGGGTCAGGAACCTTCAGCGGACTTGGGATCCCTGAAGCCAGGACATTAAGTGGACTCTCGGGGGATCCCTAGCAGAACTGAAGTTGGCAATCTGGTCTTCCCTCCTTTCCCGCAGACTTCCCCTAAAACGGTGTTTTCTCTCTCCTGGGTGCCCCTCTGCGATTTCTCCCCGACAGAACGACACTAAGGAGGCCAGCGCAGGGGCCCGTAGTGTCTGTTCCGTAGACTCCGAAGGCAGCAGCGCTCGCAGTCAACAAACCCAGACTCGTGCGAGCACGACACAGAAGGCCCGTTGCCCACGGCGCTCGCAGCGTCCAGAGCTCACGGAGCCCTTCGATAGCCTCGCACTGGTCAGGAGCAAACCAGGGGTGACCTGCCACCGCCGCTCGTCCCGCTTCGAGCTCCAACAGCCTCCGTCTCCCTCCTCTGACAGCCGTTTCCGGGCGCGCTCGCTCCCCCCCGCCGCCGTCCGCACCCGCTCACCTCCCCAGAGGCCCGCCCGGAACAGCCCGGAACAGGGGCTCCCCCTTCCCCGAACCTCCCTTCCCCTTCTTCGCTCACACTCTACCGCCGCTACCGCGCCCGCCCGGCTCCTAGCGCCGTGGACCGCAGGGCCCGTCCGTCGGCTCCGCCGGACTCCCGCCAACACGTGCTCCCGCGGAGGCCCTCGGGTCGCGGCGGGGGTGCGGAGGCCCGGCCCCGGGTCAGCCGCCCGCTCCCCGCCGCCCCACTCCCCGCGCCTCCCGGCGTCCCAGCCAGCCCCTCGCGGTCGCGGCGCGCTGGGTCGGAGGGGGGCGGTGCCCGCGGCGCGGACGCGCACGGACGGCCCCCCGGGTCCCGCGCCCCGCACCCCCCCCCCCCGCCCGGCCGCCATGTGGCGCCGCCGGCCGCCCGCGCCCACCTGTCTCCCTCTGCGTCTTCACGCTGAGGTACTGGCGCAGCTTCCTCACCGCCCGCTCCCGGATGCCCTTCTCCTGGGACGCCAGCCGCTGCGCGAACTGCAGCTCGGCCGGCTGCATGGCGGGGGCCATCGCGCCCGCTGGACCATGCCCGGCCGCTGCCCGCCGCCCGCAGCCTCCCGCCGCCGCCGAGCAGCCCGGGGCCGCGACTGCGCAGAAGGCGGCTCGCGGCGGCGGCGGGCGCGGGCTGATGGCGTCACAAAGGCGCCGGCCGCCGGCGCTCGCGGCGCGTTCCGAGGCCGAGCGCGCGGACCCTGGCGGCGGGCCGAGCAGCCCAGCGCGATTCGGCGGCGCCTTCGCGCCTCGGCTGCGTGCGGGTCGCCGCAGCTCCGGGCGTTCGGCGGCGCGGCTAGCCAGCGTCCGTGTTGCCGGCAGAGACGGAAGACCGTCTCGGGGGTCTCGAGTCTTGAAGCCCACTCCCGAGAGCTCCGTCCGACGGGGCGCTCCCCGCGGGAGACACGGCGGCGAGCCCTTAACGAGGAGCCGCCTCTGCGCGGTGCAGACCCAGAAGGACGCGGTCCTTGGGGTTTTGGCGGGATGCTGGGGACAGCCCCACTGAGGGGTCGCCCTGCTGGGGGCCAGGTCTGAGCCTCTGCTGCCCTCGAGGCAGCGCCTTCCAGCGTCCCCAGTGTCCAGGTCACGGGGCAGGTCAAGGGCGGGGACAAGTCCTGGGGCGCGGGGGAGGGGCAGGGCAGGACCCAGTGCGGAGTCTGGTAGGGTCCGGGTCAGCTCCCGGTGCAGGGATGGCAGGGACAGGGTCAGCGTCAGGTCTTCGCAGGGATGGCAGAAACAGGGTCAGGGTCAGGTCTCTGTACAGGGGATGGCAGGGACAGGGCCAGGTCTCGGTGAAGGGGTGACAGCGTCAATATCAGGGTCAGGTCTTGGTGCAGGGGGTGGCGGGGACAGGGTCAGCATCCAGTCCGTGCAGGAAATGGCAGGGTCAGCGTCAGGTCTCAGTGCAGGGGATGGCAGGGGCAGAGGCAGGTACAAGGACAGATGCAGGGGATGATGGGTCCCGACGTGGATGTAGGGATTTAGAGTGTGTGGTTGTGAGTCTGTTCCCAGGCCTGGACAACGTTCAGGGGACCCTGACGTTGTTGTTCCCCGCCAGTTACAGAAACGGACGAAGTCTTAGTTGTGCAATAACCCCGTCCACCTGATCCCACAGGCTGCACCCTACTTTGCAAACTCGGCGGGCATGTGGGGTCAAGGGAATGGACGAGGTGGCCTCTTCCAGTTCGTGGTGGGCGTCTCAGTTGCTGCGCCAGCTGGCTGGACTGCCCTCCCTATCCAGGGCAGACGCTGAGCCCGCTGTCAGAAAGCTTCGGGCCTCGCTAGTGTCGCTCAGAGCCCAGCGAGGGAGCGTAGCCACCCGCCGTGTGCGGACGGTCCCTCGAAAGCACCGCCCCCGAGCGCAGCGTCCCTTGCCAAGCAGGACAGGTCCAGTTCGACTTCCATAACTTGACACTTACACTCGGGTCTCCCTGTCCTTCCACTTTGCAGTTAACGACTTTAAAAAATCCGGTTAAGCCGGGACAGCGCACTCGGGATCTCGCCCACTGCAACCCTCGTCCGCGAAACCGAGAACGCCGCTGCCACGCTGCGAGGTTTGAGCCTCGCTGCGCTCCGTTTTCGGCCCCGCGTGGTCGCGTTCCCGCGCTTTCGGCCTGAGGGGTCAGAGGGCGCGGCACGGCGCAGGCGCACGGAGCCGAGGCGGCGGCGGCGGCGGCCATGGGCGAGGCAGGCGGCGCTGAGGAGGCCTGTCGGGTCAGTGAGGAGGCCCGGGCTGCCGCCACTGTCCTAACCGCGCTGGGCGGCGGCCCATTTGGGCTTGCGCGGTGCTCCCCGGCTGCCCGGGGCCTGGTCGGTGGCGGGGTGGCCCCGCGGGTGGAGCGGGGGTCTGGCAGGGCCGCTGAGCGCTGGGGGCAGGGCCGCTGAGCGCTGGGGCCAGGGCCGGGGCCGCGACGGCCGGACGTGTGCAGGGAGCCCGGCCCTCGGGCCCAGGTCCCCGCGTCATGGCCTCCGCTGCCGGGAAGGAAGGTGGGGGAGCCCCGGGCGTGGGCCTGGTCGCGGCCCGTTCGCAGCGCTCGCTGGAGCAGGGCGCCCGGCCCCCCCGTGCCTGTTGGCGGCCCGACCCCCGGAGGGCGGAGGACGCTGCGGGCCGGACGGGCGCCGGGTGGAGGCGGCAGCTTTGGCTTCGTGCGGGGAGCTGGGCGCGGGGCGGCCGGCGTCGTCTCGGCCGTCGGGGGAAGCCCCGTGCAGGTGAAGGGCCGCAGCCGGCTTCCCCTCGGGCGTGCGGAGCGGGGGGCGCGGGGCCGGGCCGTGGGGACACCTGCCTGTCTTCCAGCGCGTGGGGGTCCGAGAGGAGTTCGTTAAAGTCCGCAAGAAGGACCTGGAACGGCTGACGACGGAAGTGATGCAGATCCGGGACTTCCTGCCCCGAATTCTAAACGGGGAGGTGCTGGAAAGCTTCCAGAGGCTGAAGATCGCGGAGAAAAGTGAGTCTCCTCAGCTGCGGCGGCCACGGAGGTGGCGCAGGCCGCCCCGGGACGGCTGCGGGCGCGGGGGCCGCGAGCGCTGGTCTGGGACGGGGAGAGGCGCCCGCAGCCGGGTCCCTGCCCTTCGGCGTCTCCTCCCGGCCGTGTGGACGCGGCGGTCTCCCCGCGGCAGCTGCGCTCCAGAGCTCAGAGCCGGTGCGGACGGAGGTCGCGCCTCCTGAGGCCGCGCGAGGTGTTAAATGCCTCCGTGGCCGGCGTGTGTTCACTTGCTTGGTGGCGAGTGGACAGGTCAGTCGTTTTGGGGTAAGACTTATTTACTTTAGGGAGAGCGCAGCGCGGGGGACGCAGAGAGTCCCAGGCTGACTCTGCTGGGCCTGAAGCCTCACGTGGGCTCAGTCCCCCAACCCGGAGGTCACCTGAGCCAAGTCGAGAGCTGCAGGTGGTGACGGCCCCACCCAGGGGCCCCGCCGCCCGCCAGGTCCGCTTCTAGGACTGACAAGTGCAGAAGTGCCGGGCCTTGTCCACTCGGAGTCCGAGATCTGGCCGGCGCGTCTGGAGCCCACTGCAGCGCTCTTCGATTCTGGGACCGAGTCTGCGCCCGCCTGACCGCGGCTCAGTGGCGGTGAGTCAGTGTGTGGCGCTTCAGGCTGCTCCGGCCCCCTGCACTGGAGGACGCCCCGGCCTGGCCTGCTCTCCAGACGTGTTTCTGGGGGTCGGAGTGTGTGTCCAGCGCTGGCGTGCACAGGGAGCGGCTGGGACCCAACAGCACACAGTTCTGTTCGTGCAGATGCTCCTGGTCAGGACGGCAGCTGGGCACGGTTAGAAGGGCACGTCCCTGTCCTGTCCTTCTCTCTGGAGCCCCCAGATCCACCCTGAGCTACGCTGTGGCGTGCTCTGGGCGGGGGACTCCTGCACACGGCCTGCCTCTGACCTCCTTGCTGGCCGCCAGCAGGGCTCGCAAGTGGACGGCCTTGTGGAGGGAGAGAGAGGTTGGGTGCTTCCTCCTGCTCTCTCCATGGCCGTGACTCCCGCCCCAGGACCTCCTTGACAGCCTCCGCTCTCGCTGGGCTCTGGTAACAGCTGTTCTCCGCGTCCTCCCCCTGGAGGGCTGTTGCTAGCCTCCGGGGGCCTCACCAGCCCCTGCGCTGCTCTCCGTAAGCGGTCCTGCCCGCAGATGTCAACATCTGCGGTTTTTCTGCCACGGAGACCGTGCGGGACATGCTGTAGGTTGCCGGTCACGTCGCCGTTCCCGGTCCCCGGCTTCTCAGTCCCTGGTTTTGAGCTCACGCTCAGCCCTGACCTTCTGAGAGCAGCTAGTCACCCATGTGCACTGACAGCAGGGCACGTTGGCGTGCCGAGTGCTTGTGCTGCTTTGCAAGTTAGCGAGCCGGCATTCTGGAAACTGCCCCGGGGTCTCCTGGGCTGCTTAGCGCGAGTCCGTCTGGAGTCAGCCTTCAGACACCACGAGATCAAAACTGTGCGTACGAGAGCGAGGGCCACGAACAGGTCCGTGCTGACGGGGTCCGTTAGACTTCAGGAGCTCTTTCCTGTGGTCCCCAGGCCCTGTCGTCCTCTCTCCCGCCCTCTGGCCCTTTTGTCATGGTTTGCGTGGCGGATGCGTCCCCTGCAGCAGCCTTTTGGCCAGTGCAGCCGCCGGAGGTTCAGGCTTAGGGCGCTTCCCTCAACCCACGGCTTTTCCGTGGGCGGTTTCAGGCACTCGGTTTTCGTTCCCATCTTGGTGCCGGGGCTCCCAGGTTTATCTCTGGCCCTAGGTTTGGCCCAAACCGCCAGGCTTAGTTAGGGCCCCGTGCCCCGTGCCTACGCGGCATTTCTTCTCGCTGGTCTCACCGTTGTTTCCAGTTCTCAGCGTTTGTCCTGCACTGATCGGCCTGCCGCCGTCAGGAAGCACCCCGGGTCCGGCCAGGTTAGGTTTGTTGGTCCCTTCCCGCGAGGGAGACACACCGTGAGGAACTTGGGCATCTTGCCAGCGAGAGGCTAGAGTTGTGGGTTTTGGGAAAGGGTGGAGTTTAGGCGAAGCGCACATTAAACCGCATTGATCTGCTGGGCTGCAGGCAAAGTAGGGCTGTGCGTGGGGCCATCACCGTGTCCTACTGCAGTGGACCCAGGCCTCGTTTCTTTGAAAACTGCAACGTTTAGATCAACGTGGAAAATTGTGTCTGGACGTCCCTTGTTTGAAGTCCCGCAGCTAGCCAGAAAGCGGGGCTGCTGCCCTTTGTCCCGGTGACTTTGACCCCGCAGGGGACCGAGGGAGGTTTCCTTCTTACCGGTGTCATTCCAAACAGCAAAGTTTCTGGCAGTCTGGGATTTGACGGAAGGAGCTTTTTGTGCGTAAGAAGTCAGCAGTCCCCGATGGGGTCGCTGTGACGCTTTACTGCCAAGCTGTGTCCTGGGGAGAAACGTCGTTCCCGGTAACTTGGCAGCTGGATTTACCCCTGGGCTGGCCCAGCCCCACAACCTGCAGGACAGGTTCCCCGGTCTTACGTCTGACTCTTGCTGTCCCTCCCCTCCCTCTGGGCTCCCGGGGCAGAAGCTTCCACCTAGAGCCCTAGGATCCCCCTCATCGCCCACCCCTCCTCACTATTCACTCCCCTTCCGCCCCTGCCCCCAGCCTCTCTTCCCATAAGTCCTTACGCGTCCCCTCCTGGCTGGATCCTGAATTCCCGAGTCCGCTGCTGCCGCCGCCACCGAGCCCAGGCCCCCATCATGTCCCTGAATCCCTGCCTCCTGTTTGTCCACTCACCGTCACTTTCTAGTTTGTGCCGTACCCTGTCGCCCGTGGGGCTTTTTGTAGCTGAGTTTGGTGACGTCATTCCCTGCCTGTGTCTTCAGTGGCTTCTCCTGGCTTTTAGGATAAAGACCAAAACATCAGGTCCCCTGAGAGCGCTGCCGCCCAGGAACCTGGACCAGACGGTAGGCGGCTCGGAGCACCGTGTTGCCGGACCGAACCTCAGTGCGCACTCGCGCTTGCCTGACTGCCTAGACAGGCTCGGTCTTCCCGTCGGTCCGCCGGGCGTTCCTATGGCTTACGGTGCTGTCCTCCTGATAGCGTCATTTTACTGTCCTCCTGGGCGACAGGCACTGGGGGGCGGGGCCCCGCGTTGGCCTCCCACTGCGTTCTCTGTGCCTGGGTATTTGGTCCCGAGGGGCTTCCCCTTTCCCTGCGCGTTGTTCCTTCCGAATTGCTCGGTTCCCGTGAGGCCGGTGTGCTGTGGGCACCTGGGTGTTGAGCGTGAAGGGGCGTCCCAGCGGACAGAGTGGGCTTGGGGCCTGCTTTGTGCCGGAGGCTTTACCGTGGACTGTGAACCTGAGCCTTCCAGGGCCTGGGGCCCGGCCTAGAGGATGTCCTCCTGGAGCATCTTCCACCGTTTCGGCTGAATTTTTGCTGCTCGGGTGACGTGAAGGAAAAGAAAGATCCCGTCCTTTTCCTTTTTGTAAGGACTAGCTTCGGCGACCCTTCCCTGGGCCTTCTGAGACCAATCACGGGCGCCGTGGCCTTGAGAATGGCTCCCCAGGGGCCCCCCGGGGACCACAAGGTGGCAGCGGGAGCGGCCGGACACTCCAGCCCTCGGCCCTAGCAGGGCTCTTGGCTTGCACCGGGGTCGGAGCTGCCTTCGCTCCTACAGTCGCCGTCCGCTCGTCAGCTAGGAGGTGGCGCGGGGAGGAATGAAGGCGGGCAGGGAGCGAGGACAGGGCAGCTCTGCCCGCCTGGAGGGGAAGCTTCCTTCGAGCGGGTGTGGTTGCTTCGCTCGCTCAGGCCCCGCGGGCTCCCGTCCGTCAAACGAGTGTCAAGCCGTGGGCGGGACTTAATCCCGGCGCCCGCGTCGTAAGTCCCCGTAGGCAGCGGGCGGACGGTGGTGAGCCTTGGAGTCGTGCTGCGTTAGGGGCAGGTGCCCGGCTCCTGAGGTCTTCTGGGGATAGAGGAGCGTTGCGGAGCGAGGCGTGCTCTGTCGGGGTAGGAGGAGGGCGTTCTGGGCTGGGGTCTCGGCGTGTGTGCACGTCCCAGGCGGGAGACGGCGGGCTTGGCTGCCGGCCCGTAAGCTCTTCTTCGGCTTGATGCGCGGAGCAAGGATTGAGGTTCGGGGAGCCAGGGAAGCCAACGTCAGTGGTTTGTGGAAGACGAGCTAATCGCAGTTTATCGTTTCTGACTTGTGACAGAGGCAGGCGGAAGTTACCCGCGGGCCTGACGCTGAGGTAGGGGCTGGACTCCGTTCTCGGCCGACGGCTTCTCGTACCCGCGCGCAGGAAACGCGGAGACTCGGGGGAAGGCGCGGGAGAATTGAGGACAGGTGCTCACCAAGGGAGGCCCGGAGTCCCCCGAGCGCGGGGTTATGGCTGTGCGGACGGCGGGGACGGGCCCACGAAGAAGTGATTAGCCTCGGTGCGAAGCGAGGCCGGGGCTCCGCGGGGAAATTCGGAGCGGCCTGTGCACTGCTCGGCGGACGCTCGGCTGTGTCCCTGCCTGTGAGATGGGCACGGGGCGTTTACCTCAGGAGGTGGTGACACTTAAACCGAGACTCTCTGTCGGAAGCGTGTGGCGTGGCGTGCGGCTCAGGGGGGCCCTCAGGGAGGGGGACCCCCTCAGGCCGAGGGGCCCCTGAGCACTTGCTGGACGGGGTGAAGAAAGTGCCCAGAGCCAGCAGCGCCGTCCGGCTCAGACCGCGCCGCTCCGGGAGGTCGGGACAGGGTTAGAGACGGTTAGGAGTGCGACCGACCTCGTTTGAATTCTTGTTCTTTCTTATCTGCGTGAAATGGGGGGACCTGTGGGTCCTCAAGCCGCCGTAAGATGACCTCGGCAAAGCGGAGACTTGGAAGTACCCAGCAGAAGGTAGCTCCGTCCCTGGTCTCTCACCGCCTCACGTCGGTGCGTCTAGCAATGACGGAGCTGTTGCTGTGTCAGTGTGTGTCAGAAGTTGTATTTTGATTACTACTTATTTATTTTACTTATTTTTCATTTCATTTTATTTTACTTTATTTTTATT